TGATGTCATTGCTTCTGCATGCCGACCATGTGACTCAGATGTGCTGTCAGACAAACAGCTGTGTGCAATAACATTCTCCTTTTGTCCCGCTTGGAGCAACGTCTCAAAAAGACCTGCCAATCAAAGCACCCCGGGACGCAGACCTGCGCAGGAATTGAGCCTTAGCTAAGCCCCGCCCCTTCAATTACTATTGCTAAGACGAGCTTTACAGAACATCGCACAGGAACAAATTCAGTAAAATGTTCTTGGATATTATTCTTCTGACCTTGCAAAACATTTCATCCAACATTTTTCTTTAAAGAAACTATTACACGGTAAGTACACACAGTAACATGATCAAAAAGTGTAGAGACCACAGCAGGAACTTCTCAACATTTCTTTAAAGATTTGAAAAAGTAAATGTATTTTGATTTTGAGTATCATATTTGATACTTTTACAGCTTATATGGTATGATATAGTGAGAATATGAAGCTCATATTCAAGGCTCATATTCAGAGGCCCAAACTGAGCAAAAAGTATGCAATTTGATGCAGAAACTGATATTTAAATGGACAAAATGTAAGATCAAATTCTGATGCTTCAGTGATCAGTGAGATCTTTATAACAGTTTAGCAGATACTTACATAAAATTATATAAAAATTAGTTGCCACTCTTTATCCCCCAATAATATCTTCTGAATAAGACGATATATTAATTCTTAGTTTATGATCAAAACATGTAATGCAATGCATTTCAATGATTGAGAGATGAAAAATAAACATTCCTCAAAAGTCTGATGATCATATTGATTGATATATTGATAATCAAGTAAACCAAAGTTGCTCCAGCAAGTGTTCATTTTTAAATACTACTAACCATATAAAAGTTATTTTTATGTTTATATAATCAGTAAAGATGAAACATGAATCACGTGAAACATGAGTTGTGTAATTTTACAATTATACTAAAAGGTCTTTTACTTGCTAAGAGAGTATAAACTCTCAATCAGATGACAGAAGGCATGTAGCAGATTGTGTGCGACAGATATGCGAGATATAAAAGACTTTTTAAAAAAGAATAAAAACTCGCATGAAAAGATTAACCAATAAAAGAATCAATATAAGTAATAAAAGAACTTGAGGCAACAGTTGCCAAGGTACGATTGCTCAGTAAGATTTTAAAGGCGGTGCTTAGCAAAGGGTCAATTACACCAACAAGAGCTCAGGAGGTCACCGAAGAGGCGTTTCGCTGTCACAGCTGAAGCTTAAGTATTCCCTGCTCCCCTAAATCATCCAAAACAAAAGCAAATCCCCCATAATCCCATCAGCGCACTCAAACAATGACAGGCCAGGCACTGGAGAATTGCAATCAGCGGCTGATGCAGTGAAGTGCAGCCTGAGGCGTCTATAAGAAAGAATCAGGTAACAAGACCTGGATTGTATCTTGAGAGGACACTTCACTCCCCAAAAAGAGGAGTTCGGCACAATCAAGCTCTTTAGACGATGTTCTAGGCAACAAAACACATCCTGATAATCTGCAATATCTGTGAATCGCACAATTACGTTAAAAAACTGAATTCAAACTATAATAACCAAATCAATAACAAAAATAAACAAAAAATAAACACACACATACTGTATATATTCCTCTACTATTTTATATTAATTATATTTATATAAATAAAGTAATAAATACATAATATTTCTATATATAATTTTATTTAATATTACAATTATATTAATAGAAATCATTAAAATAATAATAATGATAAAAAAATTTATTATATTTAATTGTGTACATATATACAAATTTTATTTGTTTCTTTTATATTAATATAATTAATTATATAATTATATTCATATGAATAAATAAACATGAAAATAAATAAATAATTTAAAGAAATAAATATATTATATATAATTTTATATGAATTATACATTTATTTTATTCAAATAAATAAATAAACTGAACTGTGTTTTGATCACAGGCTTTGCTAAATTGGCAAATTTGACCACCAGCAAACTAATGTTGCCAAATAGTGGCCCGCTCTACAATAGATGGTCTGTAATTTCAGCCTGCGGAGTGAGCAAGCCTTTCTGACGTGCACACACGCAAAATCTGATGGTAATTAGCGCCGCCGCCCAGCCCTGGACCGTCTTTTACGGCAGACACAGTCTGGGTCATTGTCTATCCTCGGCAAACTGCAGAAACTAGCACAGCAAAAAGTTTTCGTGACACTTCCACCCCATCCCCCCTCTGGTTTCCCTCCGTTTCGCTCATATACTGCGGCCGTAATTGCTAGCCTCAGATATAATACGAGAGGGATCATTACTGCCATCCTCAAATATAATGAAGGCCCCCATAATGGCAAACTGCAAAGCCACATTATGACGGCACATTTCAATATGCTGTAATTTGCAGATTTTGCTGCAGGTCAAAGCTGTTCCGGATGGCCGTTCATAACATATATTTGTCATATAATAAGATCCACAGGGGTCTTGGTTTTCCCAAATCAGCAATGTAAGCAGATTGCATTGGCCATATAAGTTCTGGAGCAAACTCGCTGTGAGGATGCATCTAATATACGGCTCTCAGTTTTCATTACACATAATGCACCAAAATAATCTCATACAAAAAAATTAAAGCTCTTCACAGTTAGTGCTAAAATAGAAAGAAGACATTATAACAACTTACAACGCTTTAGAGATATCTCAACATTTACGAATTTTTTTCTGAAATTAGTAACCATCATTTCAACCAAACAGCTTTATTTGTAGCCTTTTAGATTCATATTGTTTAATGCAAGAAATTAAATACTCAAGAAAAAAATTTATATCACACTGTTTTTTACTAAACACTAAGAATGATATTTAAATGTTAGGCTACTTTTCCAATCTGAAACACTTTGATTCACTGAAATTAATTAAACTCTAAGGTTGCATCCAAATACTTCCCTACTACATAGTAGGCAAAAAACAACAACTGAAAAAAGTAGTATGTAAGAATTCATAGTATTCATAAAACAGAAGGAAAAAAGAAGCCACAATATTCATTGTTTATTTGTCGCCAGTAAAACAAAAAATACTCTGTAAATTAATGTAAAGTTAATGTAACTCATTTTAGATCTTTTAAGCTACATGCACCAAATTCGGCACAGATCTTCAGCCTGTTCTGACTCTGTATATTTTCTAATTGATCAGACATATGGGTTTTTCTCTAGTAAATGATCAGATATCTCTAAAATCCCATTGACTTATATTGAAACATTATGATTGTATTAATACAAAAGTTTTAAAGCTACATCCACCAAACTTAACATATTACTTCAGCCAACTGATCCATCCATCCTTTCATCCATCCACTTATCCATTTTTCCATTCGTCTATCCATCAATCCATCCATCCGTCCATCCATCTGTATATCTGTCCATTCATCCATCCATCCGTTCCTTCATCTGTCCATCCATCCATTCATCCATTCATTCATCCATCCCATCTATCCATTCATCCACCTGTCCATCCATCCGTCCGTTCATCCATCCATCCATCTGTTCATTCATCCATCCATTTGTCCATTCATTCATCTGTTCATTCATCCATTCATCTGTCCATCCATCCATTCATCCGTTCATTCATCCATCCCATCTATCCATTCATCCATCTGTCCATCCATCCGTCCATTCGTCCGTTCATCCATCCATCCATACATCCATCCGTTCATTCATCCATTCATCTGTCCATCCATCCCTTCATCCATCCATCCATCCATCTGTTCATTCATCCATGCATCTGTCCATCCATCCATCCATTTGCCCATTCATTCATCTTTTCATTCATCCATTCATCTGTCCATCCATCCATTCATCCGTTCATTCATCCATCCCAACTATCCATTCATCCATCTGTCCATCCGTCCGTTCATCCATCCATCCGTTCATTCATCCATCCATCCATCTGCCCATTCATCCATTCATTCATCCGTTCATCTATCGTCCATTCATCCATCCATCTGTCCATTCATCTATTCATTTATTCATCCATCCATTTGTCCATCCATCCATTTGTCCATTCGTCCATCCATCCAACCGTGGCGTGCATCCATCCATTCATTCATCCGTTCATCCATCCATCTGTCCATTCATTCATCCATTCATCTGTTCGTTCATCCATCCATCCGGCCCGCATAAAACAATAACAATTAAACTACAGTATTATGTTTTTAAACCTATTTCAGGCACAATTCTGTCAAGCTGACAAAGTAAAGTCTGTCAGTGTACATCGAGTACATTCCTTCTCTAATTATAAGTGCTGTTAAAAATGTCTACATTGCCCTTTGCCATGCTTTTTCCTTGTTTTCGTACTGGATTAGAAACTACATCCAAAAAAGGACAAATTCAGAAAGCTGACACAGCGATTTCATTCCCCGTCCCAGTTCATTTCCATTCCAGCTAAACTGGTTCAACATCTCTGTGTTCCAGCGTACGTCATTAGCACTCTGGGGAGGTTTACACATTCTGCCTGTTTATCAGTCTGCATCTGTTTGTATGCTGTATTTTTAGAGTTAGTCTTACTAGTGGACTTACACTGAAATATTACCTCCATCTAAGTGTTTGTACTGTAGTTACTGACTGGGAATGAAACTAAGACGTTGGAGCAATGAAATGAGAAAGTGATGAAAGTTTGTTTTGGCTTCTGGATTTTTTAACCAAATGAGAACAAGACCAGGGACAATCAATCAGTCAACCAACCAACTGCTTAACCAAATCAATGCACTCATACAAAAACATATGCTTCCATATGATACACTATGGCTTTGTTCCAAAGCCAAGATGCCTACGTAGACAGCATTTTAAGACATTATAGACACAAAAGCTGTTGGAGCCTTTTAAGAAACATCCTTTAGCCAACTGCATCTATTCTCCAAACAGAAACCAGTCCTATAATGTTCCCTATGTAGGCTGCAGACAGCAAGGCAGCTCTTCTGAACAGCAGTGGCTTGAGTAAATCATACGTGTCTCACCTGAGTCGCACGGTTTTTGGTCCAGGGTAACAGACACTCAGACACTAGAGAGACAGCGGACGGCAGCAACTCTGGGAAGGGATTTGGGATGTGTCCCATTTGTGTTTCGTCCACCGCTCTACTTTTTCTGAGGAGAGAAAAATCAATGATAAGAAACTTATTTTTAAATTATGATAGATTGTAGCACTGTTCAGAGAGTCTAAAGGATTGGAGGATAGTTTTTGAACCAATCGTCTGAGCCAGAAATGTCATGTCACCAATAAATGTATTTGATGTTATTAAGTCTTCCAAAAAAAAAAAAGGGTTACTATGGAGCTTATAATATGACAACACTATTTGAATTTGAATTGTGTAAATTTGAATTATTGACAAGTGTCATTTAACAAAACTGAATTTTATGTTATAAAAAATTCAGTTGTGTTAAATGACACTTGTCAATAATTCAAATTTACACAATTCAAATTCAAATAGTATTGTCATATTATAAGCTCCATAGGTTACTGGTTAAAAAAAAACAATCAAATCAAATATAACTATAAAAATTTAATTAATAATAGTGATAATATTATTGCACTTTATTTAGTTTTTTTAAATAAAATCATAAACTAAATAATAAAGTGTGATAATACTATTTTATTTTAAAATATATATATATATATTATTTTAGGCCATTTAGTTTTTGTTATTTTAGTACTTGTGCTATATCAGGCAAAAGCTAGACACTACTGTAATTTTATTAATAGTTTGAATTGGATTTTATTTTATATTTTCTGTCTTCATTTTGATTTTAGTTAAGTTTTAGTATTTTTGCTCTATTTCTGTGATTTTAGTCGTTTTTTCTTTAATGCATACAGTTTGTATTAATTTCTATTTCAGTTTTAGTTTGTTATTTTAGTAAATCAAGTTAAACTAAATTAGAATAAGGAATGTTGCCTTGGCAACTAGCTGATGTTTTGAAGTTTTTCATATTTTATTTCATGTCGGTTAACATTTATTTCAATGTTTTTTTTTTATTGATTTAATTTTAGTTTTAGTTAATTATAATAACCCTGCTTCAACTGAGAAATGAGAAAATAAGAAATGGCACCTTAGCAACTAAATCTAGCAACAGAAATGTTTTTATGGTTTTAGTTTTAGTTAATGATAATAACCCTGGCTGAGATCACAAAGTACAGTACGTCTGCGAAACTCGAATTTGCCTCCTCAGGGACGACTAGCACCATCAAAATAGCACTTATCATGTATGTGAGGTGCGAATGACATTTCATAAACCAGACGTTCTGCATTCTCAGCACAGCAGACAGCAGCTGTGTGAGGCAGCGGTTGATGTCATATGATGACAGACCGGATGACTGAAGTTCCGTCTCCCAGGCAACAGCCAGAGATGACTTCATCGGCAGTACCTGAACGATCCCCGGAGGAGCGGCGGTCTGATGCTGTGTGATCATGTGCTTATTTATAATCCGTTTAGAGAGTTCTGTTGATGGGTAAATCTCACGAAAAACGCAGAGAACGTGCACAGGTCATATTTCACCTGCATTGTTTGCTTAAAGAAAATGAAGCTTGCTTGTAGGAGCATTAAGAAATGTTGGATTATTTTCATCCTATAAACCAAGAAAATAGTTTTCAGCAGTATAATGTGGGAACAAATAATGCTAAATTATTTCAATTCTAAAGTATTTATACACGTAATTTTAGTAATTATCGTACTACCTTTTATATATGCAGAATTAAATATACACATCAATTTTTTTCAATGCACTACAGGTTTATAGTTCTAAAATAAGACTTTTCATTATTCAAACATCTCTTTTTTTTCATTTTGATATCATGGACATAATGCAATGTGTATAAAGAGTAACTTGCAGGGGCTGCAAACTCATTTGGTCTGTCTGTGTGTGTTTTGCTGTATCTCAGCTGGCACACCCAACTAAGAGGAGGAATGGATACTTGAGAAGACTGAAGAGAGAGAAAGAGAGAGAGAGATGCAGAGAGAGAGATTGCTGTTATTATCCTAAATCAAACGTATATATTTTAGTAAGATTTATTTTTTTCATTTTCTTTTTGAAAGAAAGAAACTATTAAACAAGGATGCATTCAATTGATCAAAAGCGACAGTAAAGACATTTATGTTATTACAAACTATTTCTATTTCAAATAAATGCTGTTCTTTTGAACTTTCCATCCATCAGAGAATTTTGAAGGAAAATGTTTTATGGTTTCCACCAAAATATGAAGCAGCACAATTGGTTTCAACACTGATAATAAGAAATGTTTCTTGGTCATCAAATCAGCATATTACACTGATTTCTGAAGGATTATGTGAAACAATATTATTTTACTGTATTTTTGATCAAATAAATGCAGCCTTAGTGAACAGAGTTTTTTCAAATGCATGAACAATTTTACATATATATGAAATCAATAAAAATTTGATCATAAGCAAAAATAACTTCAAAGAGAATCACCATAGCAATTAAATTGGAGTGCACAAAAGCACAATGGCAAAGCACTATGGCTTAATAAAACATACAGACGCACAGAAATAGAAAGAGATAACAAATAGAAAAAAAGAGTGAAAAAAACATCTTCTCCAGCAAGTATTTAAAGTATGTGTATATGCAGTGTTGGGAAGGTTAATTTGGAAATGTAATAGGTTACAGATTACAAGTTACCCTACTTAAAACGTAATAAGTAGTGTAACTTTTCAATTACTTTATTAAAGTAATGTAACTGATTACTAGTACATTCGGCAGGCAATTATACAATAATAATATTAATAAATAATATTAATAGCGGGCCAAATCGGCTGCCAGGCCACTGGGAATTGTCCCGGTTCTCCCGATGGTCAGTCCGCGCCTGATTTCCACAGACACGCAGAACGTGCAGGATTCATATATTGTCTTTTTGCGGCTTAATATTCACAGACACTAGTCCATATCGCGTTTTGATTCAAGTGTACTGACCTACTTTTGATTTATTCGTCCAAAATGTGGCATATTTTGTCCGCGTTAGGCTACAGGAATTCCGTTTTTATGACTGGATTCTACGAACCAGTCTGTGTTTTCCGCATCACGGAAATTATAGGACCGTATGTCTCAGAGTAGTCAGTGCAATTTGGGAAAGAAATCAATTAAATCTGTCTGTGGATGTGTGTAAATATTCAAATGTAATCCCCTTTGTAATCGTTAACATTTTCATAAGTAACTGTAATTTAATTACACATTTTTTCTTAGTAACTGTAACTGATTACAGTTACATTTATTTTGTCATTAAATTACGTAACGCCGTTACATGTAACTAGTTACTCCCCAACACTGTGTATATGAGCTGTGTACAGTATTTGTGTGTGGCAGGGTGACCAGGATTACTTAGAGCAGTCCCAGTTTCACGAGGTGTGTCCTAGGTAAACCAGGAATTGTCCCGAGTGCTCTTAAAAATGTCCTGTTTCAACTGACTTGCCCAGCAAGAACACTGAAACACATTAGACTTAGAGGCACAGTTCACCCAAAAATTAAAATTCTTTCATCAATTACTCACATCATTCCAAACATGTCTGACTTTCTTTTAGAACACAAGAAAAGATTTTAAAGAACAGTGCGCTCCAAACAACATTACATCCCATTGACTTGCATTGAATGAACAGAAACACACATTTTTCAAAATACCTTCTTTTGTTTTCCACAGAAGAAAAAAATAAAGTCATCAGGTATGGAACGACATGAGAGAGAGTAAATCATGAACTTTAATTTTCAAATGAACTATTCCTTTATCTACATCTTGTCATTATTTAAGGCAAGCCACTACAGGCACAACAAATAAATTGTTTTTTTCAAGCAGTGGTCAATGTTTACAGTTTGGGCTATTTGGCTTTTTGCAAAGTGCTGTTTCGGACAGCTGGAAAGAAAATATTACATTACAAAGTGTGTTTTTTTTTTTTTTTGCACTTTGTGTCTATAGATTTCAATTACAATGCATATCTTTAAAGGCAGTTTCTCAAAATGTGTGTATGCCTCATTTGCATAATTAAATAACATTTCAGAAACCTTTTATTACACAAAATGTTTGCAATTCTTAATGTAATCAACTGAGGAACTATGGTGAAAGCTATTAGTTTAATGTTTTACCCTATTCACCTAGAGCAGTGGTCGCCAACCCGTCGATCGCGATCGACTGGTAGATCTTTATCACTGTCCCAGTAGATCCCGAAAAAAACAGTAAAATAAGTACAAAAATGCATTACAAAAGAAAATCTGAATTCTGAATCAGCTATGATCGGCGCATCACTAATTAAAATACTAAGTAAAAGGCCTCAAATTTGAAGTACAGTCTGGGATGTCTTTTTCTATCAATTCTTCAATAGGTAGATCTTGTCTTTCATAAAGGCCGAGGTCAGGGATCTTGGGCCTAAAAAGGTTGGTGACCACTGACCTAGAGCATCTTCGCCTTAAAAAAAGGTGACAAACATATTTGCATATGAAAATACGGTCAGCCTAATCTAAGGAAGCTGGAACACAGTGGGGTGCGTTTAATTCACTTGTTTGTGTGTCTACATATGAGTGAGCTCAGTTGTTTGTTGGTTACGACACAAATAAACACTTAAGAGTCCTCCTTGGAGGGCCGCATTCGAGCCGTGCCGTCATGATCTCACAGCTACCGTATCACAAACACGTGGAAGACGTGACATAAAGTTCCAGCGCAGAGGGACTCGCGAAACCTCCCCAGAGCTGGAAAGTAACAGGTGCTTGATTTGATTCCAGTTTGGTTGCACTCAACCTGTCTGTTTACAGGTACAAAGTCTACGGTGTTTTCACATAGACATTGCGGAGAGCACAAAGGCTGCTCTATTGCTTGTCCGATCGGATGCGTTAACGATTAACCGTTGAGAAACGAGGTACGGTATTGATGTAGGGAATCAGATAGTTGTTTATTATACAGTGTGTACACACAATGGACGTTTGCATGCACAAAAATGAGTTGCGACAGAAAGCGTGTCCTACCTATTTCCCTTGAAGTGTGTGGAGACCGCAGCATTGGGTCGCTGCAAGGGCGAGCGCAATGGGATGAAGGCCGACCCGACGACGTTCCCACTGCCTTTCGCTCCCCGAAATATGGCCGCTTTCTCCCCGAGGCTGCGCGTCTCATCCAGGGAGTCATTCATAGCACTCATGGAGCCAGGTTACATCCAGCAGCTCATCTGGAGCACAAGACAGGACAGACACCATCAGGACAGGCCCGGAAAAGTGTGTGTTTGTGTGTGAAGTCAACGCGCTCCTGCCGCTGCTACAAAAACACACACGTACATGCACAAACGCATGCACACACACTCCGCCTGTGCTGCCCCTGCATGGCAGGCTGTCCCAGCCTGGGAAGTAGATCCCTCCTTCCAAAACATGATCCGCAATAAAGTTATTTTTAACTCTATGACTCCTGAATGAGCTTGGCTCGCTCTTGCACACACACACACACGACCTGGTCTCAAAAACTCTCGCTTTTGTTTCCCTCGCAGACCTGCTTAGACAGACAAAAGGTTTCTTGGTTATTGGTATGCAACGTAGCTCGGTAATGAGTGCTGGAGGTCGGCCAGACAGTGAAACCTACTGTTCCTTTGTCATGGACTTTCCTCTTCTGCCCTGCACCCACAGCTGCTCTGAAGCCATGCGTGGAGGTTGACCTCCTCAGATAAGATGCAGCGGGTGTGTTTGGGACTTATGAAGAGAACTGATAACAAGAGCACTTAATTAGGGAGAAAAAAAAGATAATTTCAACTTTATCTCAAAATTCAGATTTTTTTTCTTGCAATTCTGAGAAAAAAGGAAAAAATGTGAGATATAAACTTTTTTTTTTTTTTCAGATTTTTCTCTGGATTCTGAGATTACATCTCACAATTCTGTTTTTTTAGACTACATTCAAATAATGTTAGATACTATTTCTATTTACTTGTCGTTATTTGCACCTCAGCATGCAAATAGCGGAGTTGTTCCCCGTCTCATTATTTCGCTCCAAACTACATCTCATGGAAAACAAATTTTGGGCTGGGGGAAAAAACCCACCATAAAGTCTCGAGATATGTTTTTTTTTTTTTTTTTTTAAGTTAAACTTGCATTAATTTTACATGACTTTCTAAACGTGCGAGACGCTAGTGCAACGCTGATAGATGTCCTTCTAGAAAATGCGCCAAATATGTGTTCTGTGTGAACGGCTTGGTTTCAGTTTTGATGTAAACAAGATCTTCTCTGCATTGATGTTTTCTTTTTCCGCAATATTTTGAATGAACAATGCAGCAGTGCCGCATCTAGTGGCTTCAACTGGACAGGATAACAAATACATTATAATGCAATGACACTTACATCGTCATCGCATTTTGTGCGCCACTGATAAGGCTGCCTCCTTAACGCACGCCTAAAATTCGAATGCAACGTTTTTGCATTCGAATGTGGATTTTTATTTTCAATTCGACAAATATTCGAAATTCGAATTTTTTTTTTGACAGCCCTATTGTCAAGCCATCACTCAAAGTCTGTCTTGAAGTTGACAAACCTTTTCTTGGCTAAAAATTCCACTAGCTATTTGAATTTCTTATAGAATTTTGATTTCATTCTACATCATTAAATTCAAATTGCTATTTTGCATTCTGTTTCCTGCCTCAGTTCAAATTCATAAACTGAATTCTAATTTTAAAAGCATCTGCCTCTGAAAGCAAGATAATGACCGCATTTATTGCGATTCGTCTGCATGCTCTGAGGCACTAGTAATTTATTATATATGAAAAAAGACACACAGTGGCTTCTTCTACTGCAGTAAATGATCTTTTTCTTAGTGATATTTGGCACCAGTTTATCAGGAAGTGACGATTTTGTTCTCTTCGTCTTGCTGGATGGAAAAGGTGCTCCATTCGTAAATGTTTTTTGCAATATTCCAATTTTGCGCATAAACTAAATTCGTGACCTTGGATGGAAACAAACAGCTAATGGCGCTGGGAACTCCTACTGAAATGAATGTCTTCCTGTTTGTCACTTTAGATTACAAATACCACACAACCAGCCCAGAGAATGAAGGTAGATAAGAAAGATAAGAGATCTGAACTCTGCTATCAGATGAGATAATGACATTCTCTGTTATCATGTGTCAACATCTGTCTTCATTACCAATTTACCTTTCAGATCAAGTATTAATGTGCTGCTCTTTGGTCAAAGTCCCTCCTGCCAGAGTTTCACAGCAGGATGAAATAAACACAAAGTTTAATGCTCTAAATTATTTGTACCAGTCATGTTTATAGCTCAGCTCCCAGGGAAAGCATTTTGGAGGACTATTACAATACAGTTTTAAACTTTAGTGCTTTTTCCACATTTGCTGTACTGACTTTTCGTCCACCCACGTAAGTGCTAAACTTTTTTGGGCTGGGTAGGAAAAAGGACAGGAAATGGTTGCTACAGATTTGAATCTGTCATGGAACCATTTCCTGTCATCTCTTTATCACGTGTCTTTCTAAAAAAAATGTATAAAACAAAACAAAATAATGAATTATAACATGCAATCAAAAAATGATGTTAAAATAGTACTATATATACACACATTGGTGGCTAACATTATTAGAATACTAATATTTTCACCAGCTAAAAAAATGTTTTTAAGACTATGGTTTTTCTATCTTTTGCTGTAGTGTGTCAGTAGGAAATATTACATTTCAGTTACATTTCCAAACATTCATTTTGCCATTAATTGTAATAATCCAGTGAGATTTTTGTTTGCTGCACACAGAGATCTGATCTGATCATCATCAGTCTGTCTGGAATGACATGAAGAAACAGAACAAACTGAGACAGACTCAATCCAGAAGAACTGTGGCAGCGTCTCCAAGACGCTTCAAGAAACCTACATGCAAAGCTACAGTACTGTTAAAAGTTTTAGGCACTTGTGTAAAAATACTGTAAAATGAGGATGCTGTCAAAAATAATGTCATAAATAGATTTTCATTATAAATTAACTTCTATTAACTAAATTAAATCAACATTTGGTGAGAGCATCCTTTGTGTTTAAAGCAGCTTTTGCTCTCGGTGCACTTGCGGATAGTTTTTCAGGGAGCTTTGCAGGTAGGTTTCTTGAAGCATCTTGGAGACGTTCTTCTGGATTGAGTCTGTCTCAGTTTGTTCTGTTTCATATTTTCTCTCTCCTGTCAATATGGGGTGCTGTGTGTACATTAATGAGGACAAAAAATTAACTTAAATGATTTTAGCAAATGGCTGCAATATAACAAAGAGTGAAAAATTTAAGGGGGTCTGAATACTTTCCGTACCCACTGTATATATATATCACAATTAAAATGAGCAAACCGCACATCACTATTGACCTGTATTTCTCTTGTGTTTACATAAGCCTCATCACCAAAACTTCTGCTGGGTCTAAGACAAGGGCACCAGAGGACTGGACAGCATGACGCTCCCAAAATAGTTGCTGGGCTGAAACACATTCTTGTGTTATCAGTCAATGCAAACGCTTTCTAATTACATTAGCGAGACGTGAGAGGCACAGCTATTTCAGTTCAGGCCGGACTCTCTCGCATGCGGCCCTACATGACAGCAACAGCAACAGCCACAGGACAACACAAAAAGTGGGTTCAAAAAGCTGACGATGAGGAGGAAAGACGAGGCCAGAGCGACAGCGACGTGCTGAAAGATAGCCATATAAGTGCATTCACGCTGATCATCTTACCTTTCCATATCTCAGCGGTTATGAGTAAACAAATCTCTCCCAGCGCTCACAGCCAGTGTTCACTGTCATTTTTGTTGCTGAGCAAAATCTACTTCTGTGCATTGGCTGGTGTTCACTGTACCATTACTTGTTACTTGAGAAATTACTGTAAAAATTATTGCAAAAACAAAACCCCCATGAGGTATTTATATAATACACATAATGTGCAGCAAATATACTTACAGATCAGTCTTATTTTAATATTGATGATATATGATTATAGTTTTTATTAATAGTTTAAATATTTTTTTATTTAATTTTTTTTTATTTAAATGTTTGTGTTTTTGTCATTTTTATTATTATTATTATTTTTTATGTCAATATATATAGTTTTAACTATTTTCAGTTTTAATTGTAGTTACTTTAGTACATCAGTTAAACTAAAAGAAAATAAGAAATGTTTCCTTTAGTAGCTGAATTTAAGTAGCTGAATTTATATATATATATATATATATATATACACACACACACACACACACTATAATAACAATTATACAGATACAAATAAATAAGCATTTGGACACTTAAGGCATACTTATGAATGTACTTATATAAAAAATATGAACATCATTGCATTAGATCAGGGTTTCGCCAAACTGGGGTTTATAAGGGACTGCGAGGGGTTTTTGAGTTGATGAAACGTTAATAATTAATTAAATAATAATAAGGTCAAATCAAAATTGTAAAATAACAACAATCAACATAAAACACTTACTAAAAGATAAAATATGTTATTTGTTTCCCTGCATATCAAGTCATCATTAAATGAGATCACAGAACTGTGAACATTTCTGTCTATATACAGTCGGTTGTATATGCATGAACTGAATGCATGAACTGAATGAATGCATGATGCCTTTAATGCAATGCAAGCTGCTTTGGATAAAAGAGTCTACCAAATGCATAACTGTAAATAGGGTCAATTTTATTTCACATTAATATTATAAAGGGGCTGATGTAACTCGAACACTGCAAAGGTTTGAAATCATAATGCATGTGTAATCTCTCTGAGTGTTCGGTCATAAAGTTAACTGAGGGAGAATAAACAGAGACCTCCTGAGGGTTTAATTCAGTGTTCCTTTGCTGGCTTTCTTGTAATGATTAATGCTGACAGGAGATGTCCGGAGTAGATCAGCAACAAACAAAATGATTAATGCTGAGAGGAGATGTCCGGAGTAGATCAGCAACAAACAAACACTTCTGCTGCTGGTTTTTCCCCCATCATGATTCAACATCATATCGGCATTGACTAATGATGCAGACAGTCGGAGCACAAACGTGACTCCATAAGCAACACATCTGCTGTCTGTTTCACACTTGTGCGTTTGCTTTGGGTGTGAAACACAACGCCACTGCTAAATCAAACAATCTGACTACACATAAACCTCTATATATGTCAGGTTACATATTAACATCAAACAGGCATGATGGAGATTTCTCCATTGAAATTTAACTTCGGATTCAACCTGGATTTACGGAAAGGAAACACAAGCCATCAATCAGTCATAGTCCAAACCCACAGGAAAAAACATCACACATCTCTTCCAGTGGCATTTATAATGTTGCAAAATATTTCCATTTCAACATTG